CCAGACGCGACGATTTAGAATAACCTGGAATGGCGCGGAATATTTCCCGGGCGTACAAAAGGGCTGCAGGTACAGCTATACAGAACGATGATATCTTTCCTGCTAAACGTTGGAGAGTTTTGACGGAAACTGCCCGGTTTGAAAGGATGGCCTCRCGTAAATTAGCAAACTTGATTTTCTTATCTTCCGGAATGATGAAAGCCTGTCTCTCGGAATCAACCAAAAATCCCAGGAACTTCACAGTGCGTGAGGGTGAAAGAGAACTTTTGGCCAGACCAATGAAGTAACCCAAGGACACAAGTGTTGTTGCGGCAATAAATATAGCAGCTTCGGCGAGCTCTAGATCAGAAAATTCCAATGTACTACCAGTCCGAGTAGACAGCTGGCCGATATGGCGGTCGTCGATATACTGGCTGCAGGGGACCCCCAGAGCTCGAATGTGACTCGTTGCGGCCATCCCAATGGAATGATATAAATAGGCGCTCGCCTTCCAACCGAAGGGGATGGTGTTATACACAAAAAACCATCCTTCCCATTCAAAGCCAAAAAGTGTTCTACTTTCCTCAGAAAGTTCGATGTGGTCATAACCACTTTTGTCGTCCATTGTTGACTGGAAGTGACCTTTGCCAACGTATCTCGGGAGGTCAGAAATATAATCTAACCTGAAAGGGAGGTCTTTTGTCCATAGATTTAAGTATCGTTCGTCATGGCATAAGCGGGGCTTGGATGGTTCCACCGTCAACGGCATCACTAAGTGTGGCGGTTCGCATGCACCTACTTTCCCCCAGACGGAAATCGAGCCATTACGGATTCTTTCCGAGACAGTGCTGGTGATAAAACTCTCAAATCCGCGACACGATTTGTTATTAACACAAGAATATCTCGGGGGAAACGCGGAGTTGTAGAACTTTCCCTGGTAATCCCCTCTAAATGGGACTATGAACTCATGCACCCTCACTCTGTTTTCAATGTATGAAAGGATTTCTTTGCTCTTAGGGTTAGGTTCAAGAATTTCTCTCCATCGACTGAGGTGCTTGTGTACCTCTCCTGCCACAAATGACTTAGGATCTCGAAACAGGACATTTTTCGCCGAAGCTTTGGAAGACATTTTACATACTTCAGCCACAGAGACCTCTGGGGTCACAACACTTCGGGGCTGACCCTCCCAGTTGCACCAGTGAATAGATATCTTTTCTCGGGCCAAAACTTCCGGATTGAACTGGTGGGAAATTTTTATCCTCTTTGAGACGTTCTAGTAAACATAATGTAAGGGAATAATAACTACAAAGAAGAAAACAAAAAA